GAAAAAACACCGCTAAGGTCCTTCTTTAAGAGATTCAAATCATCTTGAAACCATTCAACACATAGAATGTTAAGAAGATTCGACAAAGTCAATCAAAGATTGAAGAACGAGATTCACGTCAATTTGACCATCGTTTTCAACAAATTCATCAAATCAAAAATCAAAAAACGAGAATCACGTCAATCTGACTCTCGTCTTCAACAAATCTCCCAAAACATCACCAAATCGAAGATTAAGGAATACACTAGTCAAGCCCTTTTCTACACCAATTTTTATTCTCCCATATAATTACGGAATACACTAGTCAATCGAAGATTAAGGAGTTTTTATTGCCACAACAATTTTTATTAATGAATGACAATTTTTTAGATGTCACTAAAATTTTCTAGTATTTTTTAGTGACAACTTTTATTTTGCCACTAGATGTATAACATTTTAATAGTATTTTTAATAATTTATAATTTATGTAAAAATAAATCATTTGACAAACAACAAAAATATCAAAATCTATAATCCTCATCACAAACAAAATTAAAATCCAATACTACCTTCATACATTGCATAAGATCCAAAAATCTTCCAACAAAGGGTAGTAAAAAAAAAAGTCCCACGCAACGAAAATAAAAAAAATAAACTGTTGTCTCTCCAAAAAAACAAAAATTTTGTCATTGCACCTTCCATTACTATAATCCAAAGTAAATTTGACATCCTACTAGTCAAAAGAAAAAAAAACATTTATGAAGCCATCTACTGTTACTTGCATTCTCCATCCAATACTAACACAATCCTTTAATGTCAACAACACGCCATAGTAGTAAGAACCCCTGTCAGACATTAAGAACTATCATTATTATCTCAACCATTCATTTAAAAATAACATCAAGGAAGAGAAGGTAGAAAAATAATGAAAAAAAAATCCACATCTCAGTTAACGTTTTGGAGTGGAACTTGAGATGCATCTATAAAAATGAAAACATTTAAATTATTGAGATTTATTTGTTTTGTCACACTTAAAGTAAAAACGAGTACAATCAACCACTTATTCAAACCGAATACGTCATACCAACTTGTTTGGTTATGCTCCAGAATAACACTTATTCAAAGTAAACTAAGGGTGTGTTTGTTAACTCAAATTCAGCACTTAAAATGAATATATTCAGCACTTATTAATTAAGTCCGTTTGATAACCAAAATTTAAACTCTCTTAATATGTTAAGTAATCCTTAAAAATATGCTACAATATTAAGTAGGAGATCCCTTACTTAATTCTGAAAGCCGAAAGCGCTCAACAAAACCATCTTTAATAATATTTACAATATGACAATTATACCCCAAAATATTTTACAATCCTATTAAAATTTTAATTAGTCTTTTCTCCAAAACCACTAACTTATATATTCTCCTTGTCGATTTCTTCTCTTTTTTTTCTTTCCCTTGTCTTCTGTAATAAAAATATACATACATAATTATAATTACACATAAAAATGCATGCACTACACACTCACAATTACACACAGACATATGCACTGCACACACATGGACTGTACACACACACGACGTACACACATATTGTTAATTAAATCTAATTTATTGTATTTTTCAATATTATTTGATTATTTATTAGTTATTGTTCTTTTTTGTATCAAATGTTATTGTTCACTTATTATGTTAATTTGTTATTGTTCAATTATTGTGTTATTCAGATGTCATTTATTTTGATCAAATATTTGTTAAATGTAGACTACAATACAATAATAGTGATTATGATTTATGTTATGACATATTTTATAAATATTTTCAAAATAAAGAGTGAAAGGGTAAAACTGAAAATTAATTTACTTTTAGACGTCAGATCTGTGTAGTTATCAAACAGTTTAGTTCAATTCAGTACTTAAATTTCAGTGAATTTCAAACAGTCCACAAATTCAGCATTCAACATTCAACTTTCAGACTTCAGTTTTCAATTTTATCAAACACCACCTAAGTATGCCACCAAACGACTTCCAGCCAGCGCTAGAAATTTCCCATCTTACTATTTGTGGCAAAATTATTAGAGACAAAGTAAAATTTGTCATAGATTACCTAAGTTTCCATAAGTTAGAGGTCACCATTGAATGGTATGTTTCTGTGCCAAAATGACATTATCACCACTAGATATAATAAATTAGCGCCAACACAAATATAACCAACTAAAATGCTTATTTCTCGTAGTGAATCAATCAAATTGACTATTGTAATTTTGACATTATTTACTATGTTATATTACACGCAAAATTTATCGTTACAGTCACATATTTTATTTCAAAAGTTTTTTTACATTATTTTGTTAAAAATCAAGACTTTTCATGTTTTATCATTTTTCTAAACCTTGTCTAGGTTTAGAAGAGTTTCTTTAATGGGCTAATTTGCTCACCCATTCCTTACATTTTTCATCTTTTGTATAGAGGAAGACACCACTATAGGTGAGCATGTGGAACTAGAGTGGAAGATGGATCAAGATGTGGTTCGTTTTCGCGGCTTTAGTTCATTGGGTTTATGATGGATGATTGTCATTAACATTTTGATGGATGGGTTTTTTCTAATTGTTCACAGAATTTGACTTGATAGTTAAATAGTACTTGACCGGTATCTCACCGACATCCCATTACCTCCATATAGCGGTGGGAAACGAGCCGATTGAATAAGTTCGAGCCTAAATCCGCCGAGCTTCTTTTGAAAGTGTTTATGTTTGACTCATTTTTTTTTCTTAAAAAAACAAACTCGAGTCAAGTCCAAAACTAATCAAACCCAAATAGAGTCCAAGTACCTCCACTATTTTACATATAAATGAGTTGATCTTTGCATGTTCAAACTAAATTTATAGGGCTCATTTTTTAAACAAATGAGTTCGAACTAAACTTATAGGGCTCATTTTTTAAATAAATGAGTTCGAGTCGAATTCAAAACGAGTCGAGTCCAACACTCGAATCTTTTAGCTTACCTACCTCCATATTTCTTGTATCCTTTGGAGATCCCACAAAGTCTACAATCAGTGTCCACTTTTGAGTGTCAGTAATTGTCATTGAAATCAACATTATGTCTCAGCACTTGTTGAGTTTTTTTCCTAATTTAATGTCGTATAGAAATCATGCAGATCGTTGGACGAATGGGCGTCACTAATGGTCTGTTTGGTACGAAGCATGGAAAGAAGGAAGCAAGGAAAAGTGAAAGGAATAAGCTTTCCATCCACAAAGGAAAGAAAATTATTTTTCCTCCTTTTAGTTTGGTAAGAGGGATGAAAAATATAAGGGATATATTTTTCATTGTTTGGTATTAGATGAAAAATGAAAGAAAAGAAAAAACATATATGTCCAATTTATAATTCTACCCTTAAATATATTAAGTAAATTTTTTATTACAAATCAATCCAATTAATTTGAAAAAACTTTTAATCCCCTTATTTTTGTTACAAATTAATTTTGGAGGAATTAATTTTATTTTGAATAATTTGTAACTATTAATTAAAATGATAATATATTTGATAGGATATTTAAAAGTATTTCTTGATAAATGTGTAAATTTTGAATTGAAATTGTGACAAGCACATTCAAGTATAAAAAGATTGATTTGTGTAAAAAATAATTTGATTTTTGTAGTAAAAAGTCAAAAAAAGGACAAAGACAAAATAATAAACAGTATTTATCTATTGCATAAATTAGCCGCGTGGCCCATGTGGGATGCTATAAAAAAACTGACCAGTTTTATCCAATGAAGGGCATAAAAATAATTAAACAAACCTCATACCAGCTGCCCCACTTTTCTGCCCACTTTTGGACGGAAAATAAATGGCGGGCGGGAAAGACCAGCTATCCACCGATTTTTCCATTCCGTTCACTTTTCCTCTTATACCAAACAAGGGAAACTCTTTCTGTCCTCTCCATTTTTCATACTCTTTTTTTCATCTATCTAATTTTCCTTCGTACCAAACAAGGGGTAAGTTTTTCTAGTTAGAATTATTGATCTAATTATCCCTTAGGTAAAGAGTAATATTATTTTAACTTAAAAAATAATCTAATTTGATGATTTAATAATGTGGTAGTAATGTGATCTAATAGTATTGTTGTGATTTTATCTTTTGGACTTTTTCATTAGAATTCCGTCACTTACCACATTATCATGTTAATAAATTAGGTTAATTTTTTAGGTTCTAATAAAATTATTCTTTGATAAAAACAAATCATGAGGACAAATGTTTATTATTACTATTAATGATTGTTTGTAACATACGGCAAAAGATTCATCACCAATGAGAATTTACAACCATAAAGTAAAATCTTAAAATGAAATGGAGGAAGAGATATAAATTCCTGTACATTTACTAGATAATAATGATCAATTCCACAAATCGAAGCAGAATTTGATAGTTGAACTCCAAAACGACGGACAAATTAAGTGGTTTAGGGGTAAGCAATAAATTTAGATGTTCTAAATTTAAATCTTGACAATACTTAGGGGTAAACGGTAAGAGATTTATACCTCATGAATATTTTAGTCCTGACATGAATGACTTGTCTTTGACCAAACTGAGAAATAAATTAGTTGAAATGCGCATAAGTTGGTTCGAACACCCATGAATGTTGAACCAAAAAAACAAGATAAGTACTTTAGTGTTATGACTTACAAGATTAATAAAAGAATTGTACTATTCGGATCTAAAAATTTGACCTAATTTACTGGGACTTACACTTAATTCTAAGGTTATAGTGAATTAGGTCAATAAATTAGATCCATTAACATTGTTTTTAATAATAAGAAGCCTCGCAATGAAATCATGCACAAAAATGAATTGCGGTGAGAAACATTTTCATAGTCTACACTCTACAGTGACTAAAAGATGTGAAACTTCGATCGTGTTCTTGGGCAATGGTAATTTGTTTCGCAAGGATTGCAGGAGGATTCTGAACTAGCTCTGACTATAAACAGTTGAGCCGTTGAAAAAAAGCAAGAAACACATAAAAGTGTTAATAACTCCCCTTTGCCAAAGGTAATTTTGATTTTACGTGCTTCGCCAGTGAAGCAAGGCCAACGTCAACCGCGTCCTGAAATCCATAACCGGTTGAATTGGGGTGCATATAGGTCAATGAAGGTATCAAATCTATTATTGTCCTCCGCATCCTCTCTATTTTGTCTATTGGAATTTTTACAAGATGATCTTCTATACGCTTCCCAACATCTCCCTCTCCATCTATAAAAACCGAGTAGGCGTTTGGATCAGCAGGAAGATACCATGCATACTGTGAATATGCTGTGTGGGGTGAGAAAAACACAGGAATACAACCCGCAAGAATCGAGTCGAACGTGGATCGTCTGGTGAACATGTCGCCAGCCGGTTGTAAGCAAAAATGAGAGCTTGCCATCACCTTTAGCACTTCACTGGGAAGGTGACATTTACTTGCTCCATGACCACATTTCACGAGTAAACATCGAGTTGATTTGTCACATTGCTTTATGATCTCATCTCGGATTGCCGCCTTTTCCACGCCGGTTCGTGGGGCGCCGATGAATGAGAAAAGGTATGGCCGCTCTATCTCCCGCATGCTTTTTTGCCATGCCAGCATTTCACCAACCGTGGATGGATGGAAATAAGATGCATAGGGAATACCATGTTGATTTGACCCAACCCAAGGGTTCCTTTCTACTGTCAGCACTGACATGTTTTTTATCGGAGGTAAAAGTAGAAGTTTGTTCGCCCCAAAGTCAACCCCACCTTCAGTTCTCATGAAGTCCCACGCAGTCCTTCCAAGAACCAAGAAATGGTCCATTCCATTGTTTCTTTGCCACCACGGTTGCTGAAGAATAAATTCTGACAATTCAAAGGTTAAAGCATCGCGTACTGCATGATTAGGCTCGCGAAACTTGCTTGAACAATGGAGGCCCCCATAGAAAGGGACGTAAAACAAGTTGGCTTTTAGGGGATCCCAAGTGCGACAAGGGTGGTTCTCGGCACGTGCGTGGAAGATCATCTCCGCCGTGTATTGGTGGGTGCCAAACCAACTAGTTGATCCCATTTTTGGAAGTGGTTGGCCAAGACCGTAGTTTGCCACATGTGGACACATGTTTGTGTAGACGTTCAAATGTTGGCAATCACGGAGGAGTCCGAGGTTGAATTTATCCGGCAATTCATACACATAAACGCTCTCTTTGCAACGAGATTGTGCAGGATTGAGAGAGGGATTGTCCTCTTGGTCATCTTGAAAAGAAGTTGGTTTCGCAGGCGGAAACCAGTAGAAGAGAATGAGAAACCAGAAGGTCAAGAAGATGACTAGAAAGGCAGAGAATCTCATTTACAAAATACTTGATGTTATATTTGAGAAATGAAATGTGATAGGGCCACAAGCTTCTTTTTATACAGAGGCTTTTCTATCAAGAATGGTAAGAGTTCTCTGAACAGCAATATGCTAAAAAAATATATATATGAAGAATGCATAACACGTGAAGAATGGTCCTAGAGATTTCCGTTTGGGCTTTGTGAATCCTAGATTTCCTTATTGTTGCTTTCCATAATAAAGCTATAATAGGCTTGTGTTTTTTATTTTTGTCATCCAAGAAAAGTCCCAACCACGGGTTTTTGGATTCAATAATGCCATACTAATTTCGAAGGCACTTAATCACTTACAAATCATTGGCGTCAGTTTCACATTAGTTTTCTGCAGCTAGGGATATAAACATATTGTTCAACCATTGAACCAAACCATGTACTTATGTTTGAGTTTGATTGTTTGTTTTTTTTAGTTCAACAGCGAGAGGTTTTCGTATTAGTTTACACGTACTTTAACTGATCATCTTTCCTATCAGGTTAAAAAAAGATCATACACGCCGAAACTAGGATATTCATAAGGGATAAATCTCTCATGACTTGATCCTAAAAAATTGTTAAGATTCGAACTCATATCGTCTAAATTTATAACTTATGTCTAAGTTTGATTGTTGTGCGACGCAGCAAGAAGAAAAAATCTCCTATTTGAGCTCATTCTATACTACCTCTTTTGCTTTGTTTTCCAATATTAAAAAGATATGCGTACTATGTACAATGGTAAGCATACATATCTCCATAAATGGTGAAAAATAAAAATTAGATTTAATAATTGTAAATTATACAAGATATTTATAATCCAATAGGTAATTCTGTGAGCAAATATGGCATCTGTCGTGTTTAGCAAGTTAGATCCATGATTAATTAATTTTCAGACATTATAATAAAACCCTACAGCCATAATGGTCTAATTTCCATATCGAGTAATGTTATTGAGATCTAATTTACTGACCTAATTTGTTGATCTAATTCACTATGACCTTTGGATTAATTGTGGACTCCATCAAACATTAGAATTTTGTGTTTATCCAATGGTTTTAATGAAGGTACGTCATTAGATCAACAAATTATGTCAATTTTTTAGGTCGAAATAACATTTTCCATATCCAAATGTTTTCCAAGACAAAAATAGAGAAAAATAGTTCACCTTGATGGATTTGGGCTCATCCAATAACATTTGGAGAGTCGGATTGTCACTAATACACTTTCCTTTAGAGTAAATCACCTGTTAAATACATGTGAATTGATTTAGGACTAACCATATTTAAATAATTTTTTTAATGATACATGATGATGAATGATCCATTATTAATAAAAATTAAAGTAAAATGAAATTTGTAGATACCCCACAGTTGGGAAAAACATTAATTAATTATTAGGTGAAATTGTGGATGCAAACAAACAGAGAAAGGAACTAAAGGGGGTGACTTTCTTTATTACACGTGTTATGATATTAAATGAGCTCATGTGATTGACAAGACAAGACACGTGATGAAGATATCAGTCACTCAGTCCATAATCTGTAGGCGAGCTGTTTGATGAGTTCAGCAAGAAAGGGAAGAGCTCGGTCCTTATCATGACTGAGCTATTTCAAACAATAAATGAAGAGCTAAGAAGGTGCCCACAATTCAAGCATTTTAGCTAAATGAATTGACGAAATTAAAGGCCCCTGCAAGAGGAATTGTTGGAGAGATATCAGTAACTTTCCAACTAGAGGAAGGTATATCACCTTGAATTGGAAATCATGAAAACTCTAATTGAATAGGGATCTATAAAAGACACGAGAAGTCAAGGTGAAAGGTACGTTAAATTCTCTTTGTCTATTATTAATTCAATCAATTTTCCATTTCTAACTTAAACATCGGAGTGCCTTTGATCGAAGCACTTTGATCTTGAGTAGTTTACTCGTTTTGTAGGAAGAAAAGACTAAGAGATCAAGTTCAAAAACACTCTTTACCTAAAAATATCAAATTCCAGTGAGAGGTAATTTCACTTTTTGCCTCTTACATTCATTGGTACCAGCCACTCAAATATCAACGTCCTCTTGAATGTTATATTTGGTTTTAAAGGCTAGAATCTCTGAAGACGTAAGAAGAGTCATTTGATAAGATTAAGAAGGTGCAGAAAGAGAGAGGTGGAAAAGCAAGATAGAGAAAGAAAAAGAAGTCTGAAGCCGAGAAGGCAAAGTAAAAGAAGGGAAAGAAAACGTTTATAAAATGAGGGAATTTTAAAAGGCAATATTTAAATGACTAGACTCACCGCTAAAACAAAGGGGGATATTCTAAAGGTGTGAGTAATGATGGGAGTAAGGACATAAAATAGCTGATAGACGAAAGACGTTTGTCAAACGTTTTTTGGGGGCAAATGAAGGGGGTGACTTCTTTTATTACACGTATTATGACATTAAATGAGCTCACGTGATTGACAAGTCAAGACACGTGATGAAGACATCAATCACTCAGTCAATAATTTGAAGTCGAGTTGTTTGATGAGCTCGGCGAGAAAGGGAAGAGCTTGGTCCACATCATGACCGAGCTATATTTCAAACAATAAATGAAGAGCTAATAAGGTGCCTAAAATTCAGGCATTTTGGCCAAATGAATTGACAAAATTAAAGGCCCGGTATGAGGAATTGCTGGAGAGATATCAGCAATTTTCCAACTAGAGCCGCCTGATTGAAGGAAGGTGTACCACCTTGAATCGAAAATCATGGAAACTCCCACTGAATAAGGATCTATAAAAGGCGCAAGGAGTCAAGGTGAAAGGTATGCTGAACTCTCCTTGTCTATTAGCAATTCAATCAGTTGTATTACTGACTTAAGTATCGAAGTGTCTTCGACCGAAATACTTCGATCTTAGATAGTTTACTCGTTTTACAGGAAGAAAAGATTGGAAGATCAAGTTTAAAAACACACTTTACCTAAAAATATCAAATTTCAGTAAAAATTCTAGTGGGGGGTGATTTCACTTTTTGCCTCTTATAAGAACAAATGACTAAAAAACCAGGTAGACCATGAAAAGGAATGTTAATCATACCTAATGACAGTCAATGAATTGATGATACTTGAGTAAATCTGATCGAAAGCAACAATATCTAAATTAAGAGGATCCAATCATTATTTATGGAGAATAGTATGACACGAAAAAAAAAATTCTACCATACCTCTAATTTTTTTTTTTCATTTTTGTGAATATTTTTAAAACTTTTATGAGTATTTTTATAACAAAAAAAAAATTACAAATTTTGTGCATACTTTTACAACTTTTGTGATATTTTTATAATTTTTGTGAGTATTTTTTTACTATTTTTGTGGTAGTTATTTTTATTACTTTTGTAGTAACCAACATGTTAGGATTGATGTGCTGAACTGAGTTTTTTTCTCTCCTCAAGGATCTTATAGGAATCTTTTTCTTCCTCCCTCTGGGGAGGTTTCTTCTTTATAAACAACAATTGGATATGTATTAGGATGTTATCAAATATTGTCAACAATAAGTCCTCCAACCAACTTACAAGTCATTTTTTTGTTTTTTGTCGTATGTGCCGCCACACTAAAGGTGAGCCAATTATTTAATTTTTTGATGTAAAACCAATCATTAATCTTTTCGAGAGAAACAACAACAAACTACTGACATCTAGTTGAGTACTTTCAACCACATTCAGTTTTAATCTTTTTTTTTTTTAATTTTTAACATAGTTAAATTGGAAACCAATCTTAATTGCATATCTATTATTCCATTCGACCATCCATCAGTCAACATACCCTTCTCATTGCGAGAACAAAACGAGAGAAAAGATCATCCTTGCAATCAAAGGCCTCAACAAATAATGTTACGTTTTTCACCATTTTTTCGCCCTCAAACTCATGGACCCCATTTCCTCTTACAACAACTGTGACATCAACATAACACATTAGAATAGAACGAGCGATTAAAAACATATTTTTCAGATCAAAATCATTTTACAAAACACAATGTGAATTTCCTAGAATCGCAAAACAATACATTTGGAACTCAACCCATCTCAATTGTCACAAATACTACGCAACACAAATTTTAGTAACAATAGTTTCAAGGGAATACTTACAACAAATCAATAGCGTATCCCTCATTTCTTTCTGCCAAGAAAACAAATATATGGGAAAAAAAGTGATAAATGAAATAAGCAATTCTAATTCCAAGAAACCAAAAATAGTAACATGAAAAAATGTAATGAAATTCTATGGCATTATGGCTAAATCACAAATGCATTCAGGGCAAAAAAAATATAGAAAAAACTGACATATTTGTAGAAAAACAAATCTGAATCAACGTGTTTAATATCCAAATAGAACACTGAACAATTAACACATGAAAAACACAATTTGATAAAACAATATTAAGCGAAGAACAAACTCACAACGAGTATAGCTTGACAAATAAGCAAAAACGAAATCAAAATTTGGCAATTGAACTCAACAAATTAATCACTTCATGATCATGGAATGGAAATATGAACAAAAAAAAAGAAAACAGTGCATGAGTAGAAGACTGAAGATCGAATTACAAAAAAAAAATTGGCAATCGTAGTAAAAAAAATCGGGCAAAAATGAATTTCGGCAATGACACCCAAAAATTCCAACAATTGCAGTAAAGAACTCTGGCAAAATTGAACTTCAAATGTGATTTATAAAAAAATTGAGACACAAATGTTTAATAAAAGAATCATGAATATGGATTTAAATTTTAAATTTTATGTACAAATCTTACATGTAGTTTTTAGCGTGAATTATGGGGTAGATTTGAGCGTTTCTTGGTTAGGAAACAAGCTTAAAGTTGAAGATTGCATTGACCGATATATTAAGGGTATTTTGAAGTTATTAAAAAGTTATGAACTTAATTACTTACTAAAAGATTATAATATGACTTATTCTCAAATATATTTAACCGTTAAACTTACCTCATTAAAAATTCTCACTCAATTCCAAACTTTAA